AGTCAAATGTTATGCATCATAGAGGCAAAACAAAGAGAGTGCAATTACATATGTAAGTGTTGTCTGGTACCAGTGGAATAGTATATGTAGTGTTATTGAAGACCGTGCTTTGCTCATATCATGCCATACAAGCATATCCTTCTCCAATGACTTGAATGTGGTCAGTCACAGTCTTTTTTTTGAACCATGAGAACTAATTTGTAATATCAAGATATCAATCAGAAACAATAATCTTTGATTCATTAAAGCTTGGCAGTCACAAGGAAAAAAATGGTTGAAAGATGTTAATCCAATCGCTTGGTTCGTTACAAGCTTGGTGGTAAACAAGAAAGAACAAGTCTCCTAAGACTAACTCAAACCAAGTAAAGATGCAGTCACATCCATTTTAAGCGCAAGATGAAATTTTCACCTCAAATCAGATGTAAATTACTATAAACAAACAAGAAAACTTTAGGAACGGCATTATATCAAACAACTTTAGGAACGACAATTAACTTACCATAATTTAAAGAAGATGCACATGATTTCTTGACATAATGGTAAAATAATTGGCTCAAACAAGTAAAGTCTCAAGCATCGCATAGTATACTACATACTACAAAGTATAAATAAGTTTGTCCATAAAAACAAGCAACAACAGTCCGCGGCAACAACTGCAGTCTAGAAACTGGACCGCGTGCAGCCATTGCACATAGTCGAGGGCTAAAGCAAGGATTGCTTGTGGTAAGCGCACACTGGCATGATGATTTTCTTTTGTAGTTTGATTTATTTGAGTATTTTTTTAACGGTTTCTGTCTGTAAAATACCAGAACTCAACTCAACTGATCAACAAGTTTGTCAAGGATATTTCTTTGTCATGTGTGGGAAAAAAACCACATAACTTGAATGCAGTTCATTACGTGTGAAATCTAGGCCTTGATGCTTCAGTTCAAACCTTTCTGTTACTTTTTTTTGTTGCGACTGGACCATGTTATTTACATGTATTCTTTGGTATTGTTTTTATTAAGTTGTAATTGCATTGACCATGCCTTCATTAGCAGCTTTGTCTTTACATGTGGATGGACTGGCCCATAGAGGTTACAGCATATCGTGTAGAGTATGTGAAGCCCTGTTATTACACATGAAAATAGACTTAGTATTGAGGAACATTAAGTGGGCCTGAATTAATAAGATAATTTAACTTTGATTATTTTCTTTTCTTTTTCTTCCAATTCAGTTGTTTGTTAATTAACCAAGAGTATACCCCAGTTTACCAGACATTGAAATACACGTGCATCATCGAAGAAAGACAGAGTTTTCCCCCTAAACATTCATGCTTATCATAGACTATAGGGTTAGTTGTCATATGTGCCAAGACTCATAAGTAAGCATTTGACATTTAGTTTTAGTTTCCAATTTATAACCATATAATGCAACATTCAATTTAAAAAACTACAAAAAGATTTTCATACATAGTAACAGTTTATAACCAGTTAATGCAACATTCAATTTTGTAAACTACAAATTTTTTCAACATTGTAATAATTTTCTTTAGTAGTATTATAGAATTTGCATACCTCACAACTAAATTTAACAACTTTTCCTTAGACATCCACTAAACTTCTTGGTCACATCTACAACTTGTGTAGAAGGATGTTGCCGATAATACTCGTGGATTTAAACAAAGAAGCAAGAAAATATTTTCAATTAAACAACTATAAACAAACATTCCTAGGGCTGGAGGAAAAATTAAAACAATCTCTTTTAATCTCTCATAGAAAGCCTGAACACATTTGTGCCGCCGCCAAATGTGTGCCCTCTCAATGCAGTGATCCATCCTCATTTTCTTGCTTGCATGAAAGAAGAGCCATTAAGAAGAGAACTCATAGTCTTTTGCAGTCAATTAATTATGAAGGGTATTCAGTTACCAGGACAAATATCTAAAATTCGATAGAACATCAATTAAAATCTAAAATTTTGCAGTCAATTAGAGAAAACCCTAGTTTTCAGACCATGAGGGGTACCTAAGATAGGAGTCGACTCTTGAGTGAGCTTATCCTCTTCAATCTTCTCCACATCCTAACTCCTCCACTAAATAAAATATATAAAAAGAAAAGGAGAACAACGTCAACCGAAACAATTCTGAAGTCTTTAGAACAAAAAAAAAAAGAGGCACATAAATTGGAATTAGTGCTTTAACCTGCAGAGATTGAAGGATCGAACTAAACCCGAGATAAAGTAATTCAATCTAATTTTAGTAGTTAGGAATTTTTACCAAAACCCTCATGAAATTCCTGCAACAGAGAAAAAAGGACTGAACTTTACTACAAACAGAACGAATATCGATCTCATTTCAGCTACCAAAGAGCTAAATTGATCAAGCCATGCCATCTTTGCTCATCTTTACGAAAATCTTATAACTGTTTTTAAGAAATTGTGAAAGGATTTCATTGAAAGGACTTCACCTCAATAATCATAATAGTTAGTTATCAACAAATATATGTACAAGGAATGAAAGTTTTGTTCAAAGCAAATTGCAGATGCATAACGATCCTCTAATTCACACAGTGCTAGGCCTAAAAGTGATGCTATGCTTCTAGGCCCTTCATCTGGGCAATCCAATTCCTCATTGAGTCCCATCTCTTTTCCCCTTGAAAATTTTTTAAGTACTTGATTCATAGAATAGACAATATAGTAGATAAAAATAATATAAATACATGAATCTTGTTGTTTAGTCTATACTTCTTCGATCTTGGCTCGTTTGAGGTTTAAGTCTGGCTTTTCTTGAGATGCAAGAGACAATCCCAAGACCATTTGGAATTGATTCCCGTTAAGTCTTTTAAACCTCCTCTTTCTAGAACTTGGCGTGGCCTAAGTTACAAAGGATATATAAAATATGGATAGAAAGGTAAATGTTGTTGGAAATTTGATAAATATATCAAACACTAAAGAATCACACATCAATTAATTTATCCTTAATCTCAACTTATTTTATTTGGGTATATGAATGATCCTTTTACGACATTTTTACCATAATGTACTAACATATTTGTTACCCACATAACTAAACACACTAACCATGATCCACTCAAACTAATTCAATATCTATTCAAATATGGATTCAATAATATTTGCATGAACAATAAAAGTCAATGCTTAAAGAAAGAAAGCAGCAATCTTTATATGTTAACATAACAATTCAAGGGATAAGAAGATGTTTAATTTACCTGGAAAGGAAGTGATGCAAGAAACAAACCAACCACACGGCCATTGTATTTAGTTATTGCAAATTAAACCTCTTCTTATCCCTTGCAAGAAACAAACAAACGCACACCATTGTATTTAGTTATTGCAAATGATCCAGTCGAAGATAGTATCTCAAAACAACCATGCATATCTTTATTAATGGTTAGGCTCAAATTTCATCATAAAATTATATTGATAGGAGGACGAGCAAGGCTCTAATAATTTACGGGCAACTGTGCAAATGCAAAATGTCAAAGCTAAATTGCATCAAAAGCATATTGTGAATGCAGCTACTTGATCTTCGTGACACCAAGCTTCTTTGTTCTTGTCAACAGTCAAAATCCATAAAAAGATTTGACACTTAATGCTTACCATATGAAGAATAAGTTTGGACGAAACACGAAGATTAAAAATAAATGCAATAAAAATTAGAATAACAAAATTATGCTGAAGGTATCAAGTTAGACACCAAGATAAAATTCATAGGCAAAGGAAACAAAGATTAAAAATTAATGTGACATTTAATAAAAAAAATGTAACTTAACTTTGACGCAAAGGTATAAAATAAAAATAATAAGGATTGAAAATAAATTTAACAAAAATTAAAATGAAAAAATTTGCTAAATGTAGTGAATTTGACACAAAGTTATTGAATAAATGCAACATTTAATAAATAAATAAAGGTAACAACTTTTGACACAAAGGTATTGAATAAAATAACAAAGATTAAAAATAAATATAACAAAAATGGAAAATAACAAATTTATTCTAATAATTTAGACACAAAGGTAACAATTCATAACTAAAGGTAACAAAGATCAAAAATAAATGAAACATCTAACATCTAAAGGCAAGGAACTTCGACATGAAGGTAACAATAATAAATTAACATAACACAATTAACCGAAAAAATCATAGCTAAAGGTGACAATTGATGAAGATAAATAACGAAAAAAAGAATAAAGAAAATAAAATTATTCTAAAGGTTGCGAGATATATTAAATAGAAATGTAATGCTTCACAACCAAGGTAACAATGTTTAAAACAAATATAAAGATTAATAGCTGCACATAACAAACTTCAACATAAAGGTAACAGTGCATAACTAAAGGTGGCAAAATTCAAAAAAAGGATGACAAACTATTGTTATATTGCTAGTGTTAACGCAACAAATTAAAAACAAAGGTAATTAAGCGAAAGGTTCATGATTAAAGGTGACAACCTGCAACCTAAAGATAACAAAATCTGAAGGTGGCATAAATAAAGATAACAAAGTTACACTAAAGATAACAAGTTAGACATGAATGTGCCAATTCATAGCTAAAGGTAACAAATATAAAAAAAGTAACAAACATCGACACAAAAATAACAATAATTAATAAAGATAAAACAATTAACCAAAAAGTTCATAGCTAATGGTGGCATACTTCGACTTAGCAATAATAAAATTGAAAGGTAATAAGCATAAAAATTATGCTAAAGGTAACATGTTAAATAGAAAGGTAATAGCTATAACAAATTAGAAGTGAATGTAACATTTAATAACTAAAGATAACAAACTATGACATAAAGGTAACAATTTATAGCTAATGGTGACAAAGTTCAATACAAAGATGACAAACCTCGACATAAAAATATTAAATAAAACAATTTAGGTAACACAACTAAAATAAAGGTTCATAACCAAAAGGGGCAAAAATTGACCTAATTGAAAGATATATAAATATAAAGACAAAGATGACAAAAGTATGCTAAATGTAGAAAATTAGACACAACGGTAACAATTCTATCTAAAGGCAATTATCAACAATCTTAAAGAACTTAAATCATAATAACACAAGATGCTAAGCATCAACATTAACGAAAAAAGCTACATAATTAAAATGATTTTTTTGGGGAAAATTGCAATGGAAGTCGAAGAAAAAAAGGAGAAGGAAAAAACCTCTAAATTCTATATGGTATTCCATAAGTATCAGCAACTGAATCCATTCAGATTGGAGACAATTACCTGCAATAAAAATGGTAGAAATTTATCACTCATGGCCAAATGGACTACGCATAAGAAGATCATAATTTCACATAGTGAGAATGAACAAAAACATTTCTTGATTTCTATGTGTATCATAAAATTAAAGAATATTCAAATCTCTAATTTTTTTGACAGAGGAAAGAGAGAGAAAAATGAAGCCAAATTTTGAAAAACCCAAATTGAACTTAATCAAACCCTATATATATATATATAATTAAAAAAAGTTTTTGTGGCCTTTCATATGTATCCTTATATTGCAGAGGTAGCATATCCCATGTTTCTTCAATGCATTGAAGAACAATGAGAATCTAACAAACTATTTACTCCTCTTTCTATAATAAAGCATAGATTTCCTGAAACTTGAGGCTAACATGTTAACCAATAACCAAAACCATTGAGGTGATTGGCGGCAAATCACCATCGCCTCATTGGAGATCGTATTGTTAGAAATCCTGAGAAAATGAGAGGATTTTGGAAGGATTTGTTAAATGTGGTCCCGCTACATCCTAATAATACAAAACAAATTACTAAAATTCAGAAAATATGAAGAAGAAAAAATGTAACTCTTAAATATTCGAAAAAATAAAAAAGTAAAAATACTAATATATTCCTTTTTAAATACAACATACATAATAAGCGGGCCCAAAAATCCTTTTCTGCTTTTATCTATTTCTTTACAAATACACAAGAATTCTTTGATTCTCTTTTCAAAGCTAACTTTCATTCCACTACCCTACAAACCAAACATAAAGCTAAAAATACAAATCTTAGAAATACAACATTGCCATAAATCCAAAATACAAATCTTAGAGCCAAACATCCCCTCATACACCTGTATATGTGGCTATACATAAAGATATATCCATAATTGAGCATTAAGAAACCATCAAAGGTAGGTACCAGTCTATCGTACAAACTCAATTAATCATCAGCAACACAAAGTAAACAATTTAACAAGAAAACAGATAAAACCTTGAGCTGCTCCCTTTCAGCTGATGAACGAAAGAACCCACGTTCTGGAAGTCCACAACTGGCTGATCTCTGCACACATAAATTCACAAACATAAAATCCAAAAAAATTAACAAAAATCAACAACTTCATACCAAAATTACCCACAAACTTACATCAAGCTGCTCAGCTCTGAGATCATCCTCTTAGAATCATCACAAAACAGCTTAATCACCTCAACAAGGAATTCACCCTCGTCCTCTTCCAGCATTAGTAGCTGATTAAACTGTTGATCCAACAAACCCTAGAAATCGACAAACCCAAATCAAACACTGAAACCCTAATTTAAAAAGAAAACAAGCAATCAGCACTCACCCCTGTTGTTGAGTAGGGCGGTGAGGAGGGCGCAGAAGGAGAGCTGGGTGGGGTTGGGGATCTGGTGGAAGAGGCGGACGGCGTCGTCGAGGAGGCCGGAGGCGTAGTGGAAGAGGATCCGGGTGAAGAAGCCCTCTGATTTGAGGGACGTGGGGTCGGAGATCTGGGACAGGAGGGCGCACCGGATGAAGTCGAGGCGGCGGAGGCGGGAGAGGCGGGGGAGGGCGATATATATATATATATATATATATATATATATTCTAATAAAAACCTAGAGAACTAAAAACCAATCTTAACCCTCCAATCTATTTAATCCAATGGCCTACATTTTGATGGCAGAATTAAAAATATACACAAATCTAATACACATCAGCTGTAAAAATTAATGTGAAAATGGTAAAATTGGAACGATTCACTACAATGGTGGCTGGCAACGTTGGAAACTGGAGATAATGATTAAAACAAAAAATACAACACGTCCTTTCACTTCCCCATTTCTCTCTCTAACTAACTTCCCGCTCTCTGTAACTTACTTCCATCTTCTATCAAGCTTTGATCTTCCATCTTCACATGAAGAACACGACAACAGTTCATTAAAAACCATCCTAACCATCTTCTATGAAGCTTTCATCTTTCATCATCCATCTTTGCAGGAAGAACACATCAACAATTCAGCGTCGAAAACAACATTCTTTGCAGGAAGAACACAACAACAATTCATCTTTCATCAAGCTATAAAATTTTAAACCATGAAAAGATTTCACCTTTTACAGCAAAAAGTTATGATTTTTATGGTAAAAAACAAACACCTCACATAACTGAATCTGGATTCACTGTAGTGAATCTGGATTCACTGCAGTGAATCTAGATTCACACATGCGTGTCTTCGTTTTTCAACTGGTTTCTTTAAAAAACAGGAAACTTTTCAGACTAAAATGTAAAATTTTTCACCTTTTACAGCAAAAAGTTACGCTTTTTTATGGTAAAAAACAAACACCTCACATAACTGGATCTGGATTCACTGCAGTGAATCTGGATTCACTGCAGTGAATCTAGATTCACACATGCGTGCCTTCGTTTTTTAACTGGTTTTCCAACTGTTTTCTTCAAAAAATAGGAAACTTTTCAAAAAATTGGAAATTTTTCACCTTTTACAACAAAAAGCTACGATCTTTAAGGTTAAAACTAAAACTTTTAGACAAAAAATCAAACAAATTTCATAAACTTACCATTAAAACGTCAAAATAATTTAACGATGACAAAGGCTGAAGACGGTGGTTGAAGATGAAGGTTGAAGACAAGGTTAAAGAAGACCGTTGATAGAGATGCATTTGAAGGCAAACGTAGCATTAGATAAGTTGGGACGAGTTTTGGAGAGAGAGAGAGTTGTCGTGACTTTTTGGATAGGGAGATGTTGAAGAGAGACAGAGAGAGAGAGAGAGAGTTGCTGTGATTTTGGAGAGAGAGAGAGATATGTTGTGACTTTTGGAGAACTCAACAGACATGCATTCATTACATCTGACAAGTGGCTGTTAATTTTACCTGATTACCCTTATGCAGCTTTAATCTCAGCCATTGGATGAATCAGGATCCAATGGAGAGGATTGGTTTTTAGTTTTTAGGATAGTGAGGTTTTTATTTGAACCTTGTTATAGTATAGTAGTTTATATGTAACATAATAATATATATACCCGTACGAAACGTGAGTATAGTAGTAAATATCATAGGTAGAATATCATATAAATATAACTACAATACGGTTATGATGTATATATTAAGCGAACAGACGTTAATCTATCCGTATGCTATCATATATACTAGAATACTACGTACTTAAACACGTAAAACAAATAACAATAGAGTATACTATATAGTGCATAATCACGATGCGGAATTATGCGTACGCATTTGGAGAGGAGAAGGTTGTTAATTGCAAAAGATGAACCTTACTCTCGTCTCATACCTCCGCTTCCAATCTTGATACTGTTCTTGCTCTTCTTACAATATCTCATTCTCTCTCTCTCTTTTAGCTTCATTAAAATCCCCAAACCTTCCCATCTCGAGCTTCTCCCCCAAACCGATCCCCAATCTCCATAAATCTGCGCCGACCCGTCGAATCCGCGAACAGTCTCGCTGATCACCATTCTCATCTCCTCATCTTCCGACCGCAGCCGTAACTCCGACGAGAGCCCTCGTTGATTTTATTCAGTCGCCGACAACTAACGAAGAAAAACTCCCTAACGAAGATGATAAAAAAAACCGATGATTATCATACAGTCCCAACGACCCGAGAATCCTCTCCGTGCTCAAACTCCGCCGACAGACCGACGAAGTCCCAACTTCTCGCTTGCGCACGGGATCAGGACATTTTATTTACTTATCAAGGTTTTCCTCATTATCAATTGGATTACAACATTAAATCTTTTCCTTTAGAACTAGCTTACTATACTAATGTCTATTCATATATAGTTCGACTACCGATGTATACTATTAATATTAGTAAGTTATACTATGTACTCTACGTAGCTCTATACTACTATAATATTATACGGCATTATATCCAGTAGTAGTTGTATATGTGCTCATATAGTGTTCTACATATTATATACACGCGCGCGCACTCTTTTTCGCTCGAAGTTATGTTACTCATTCAGACTTAAAGACGCTGTCTTTGACAAATATATCTGTGCGTTACTTTTCCTTAGAAACTTACACCTCTTCCTAAGAACTTAATGTTATGGAGAACCATTATCACATTTTATTTACTTAATAGTTTTATTTGAAGGTTGGGTTTTTTAATGCTAATCTTTCGAAGGAATTTGATATAATGTAGTGCAATGTCAATATATATTCACACAATTTTCAAGACATAAAATCTACTCGTGGATTTTATTAAACTCCTTGGGACATTTGATGGGCTACTTTAACAAAATATACGATGCACTTGACATTATATTAAGATAAAATTGTAGGAAATTAGTATCAAACATAAATTTTGTATTTCGTAGTGAAGCGTCTCATTCTCATCCACTCTCCAATTTATGTGAATGCCCCCATTTGAATGAGTTGATGGAAATGAACCACCTTACTACTTAGCATAAAAGAATAATTATTTTTTGACCCAAAATATGAGACCATTCACTGGTAGTGAATAGTACTACTCATGTGGAAAGAAACTTTACATTTACGCCTCGTTTGATACGTAGGAATGAACTTAAATGATAATGGAATGGAAGAATAAGGGGGTGTTTGTTTCAAATCTTATAATTTTAGGATATGGATTTCACCATGGGATTTGAAATCCATAGTTATTTTGTTATGAGTTACGATTTCTAAAATGTTATTTGTTTTATTAATATTTTAGGATTTGGAATACTACAATTTATAATATTTTATTTGTTTTAAGCTCAAATTGTAGCATTACCAAATGCCAAAATTTTATAATATGATGAATATGCTATCTTGGTGAGGTTATCTCCCACAAAAAGATAAAATTTGGATTTGTCAAATCCTCTCCAATTGAGAGGTAAGCAAACCCATTTATGGGATTTGTCAAAATCCTCTCCAATTGAGAGGATTTGACAAATTCTAAAAATTAGGTATTTTTTGCACTTTTGGAATTCAATATTCTAAAAAATTCGTAAAACAAATACCATATATGGAATCCCAAAATACAAAAAAACTCACTTTTTGATCCCAAAACTTGTAATCCATACCAAATGCCAAAATTTTTGGTGAAACAAACACCCCCTAAATGGAATCAAATGTATGTGGGAATGGAATGCTCATTCTCATTCTCTTGTTTAGGTGCTTTTGTAGAATGAAGCTAGAATGAAAATCTCATTCTGATTATCATGTTTGGTATCATTAGTTCACAACGCCTCGTTTGGTACGTGGGAATGAAGTCAAGTGAGAATGAAATGGAAGAAGGAATGGAATGGAATGTATGTGAGAATGGAATGGTCATTCTCATTCTTTTGTTTGGGTGCGTTTGTAGAATGAAGCTAGAATGAAAATCTAATTCTCACTCTCATGTTTGGTATCACTAGTTCACAAGTGAGAATGGAATCTCATTTTCTAATAATGCCCTTATAACAACATAGATTTTTAATAAGATAAAAATAAACATTAATGATAATAACTAAAAAATTTGTTTATGCATATGTTATATTAATCTAGGTATGTGTTATACTAATGCGCATGTTATTGATCAGGTGTATGTTTTGTTTATATTTTTTAAACAATTCTCACTATTTCTGCATATGTTATATTAATCTAGGTATGTGTTATAATAATGCCCTTATACCTCTATATATAGTCTAGACATGATATGGTTTTGATAATTTTAATATTTTGGCTAATTTCTCTGCGAGAGTTTCCTCTTTTCATAAATATTGGGTCAAATATTTTTCAATCAAAAGTTAGATTTATTGTTGTGCATGAACCACAATCAAACATGTACGCAATTGGTACATATAGTTCTCTGTGGTGGGAAAACAATAGCAAAAGTTCAAAAAGAATATAATATGCTGGTGAAAATAACAGACTTTAAACAGTGGGAAAACAATAGCAAAAGTTCAAAAAGAATATAATATGCTGGTGAAAATAACAGACTTTAAACATTATAAACAAAAAAATTTGATTGACCAAAAAAAAAAATATTGACATGAAAGAATTTCAATCGGCAAATAATATATAGTTTCAGTTGCATCTGTTTTTATATTAAATTGTGTTGCTCCTATGTTGAGCAATTGTGATATAATAAGCTAATGAAATATGTACCGTTAGTTTTAATATGCTACTAAAATATGTACCACTAGTTTTAATCTCTACCCCGCAAAAAATTCCTATTGTTCGAATATAATTAGTAGCTGAGAGA